TTGGATTAAGTAAATAATAAAGATAGTATCACTTAGGTTTTACTTTTTATTTTGTAGTAGAATTTAACTTGGCGCCACAGTTGTTGATATCAAATCGTTTGTACAAATAATACATATTAGATTAATATTCATTATTTAATTTGGCTATCAAATCTTTTTTACGAATAATACATAAAATTTCGATAAAGTTAATTAAATTAACAGAATTTAACTTGGCGCCACAATTTTTTATATAAAATCTTTTATACAGATGAAACATACATATCATTAGATTTAGTAAATTTTGTGATATAATGATTTTCATGCAATAATTTTTGAAGGGGAATAAAGCCATTATAACTTGGGCTGGAATGTATCATATACAAAGAATTTCATCAAACAGGAAACGCAATTAGTCATCAGTTCCACGGCCGATTAAGTAATTGACATTGGTGAAACCGGCCCAAATGGTGGTTTCCATACGAGAAGCACGCACGCTTAGCGCTTTTTTTACCTTTTTCTTAAAAAGGTAAGTTTGTATACAATTAAAGTTACTATTACTCAATTAAAAAATCCCACGACCATCCTCATCATCTTATAATAGTAATATCAAAATATTTAGACGACAGTCTTCTATATAAAATTTATGTTATTAGACCCAATTAAGGGTATCGTGAAACTGGCCAATCACAGTCGTTCCATTCTTCCGAGGAACAGCTATGATTGGCTAATTTCATAACGACGGATATTAATACACCCGATTAAGGGTGTCGTGTAAATGTATAGACAACACCTTGACACCTAATTCCTCGACGACGAATACCCACTTCCTCGATGGCGAACACCTAGACATCCGTTTCCTTAATAACGAACACCTAGACACCCATTTCCTTAATAACGAACACCTACACACCCACTTTCTCGACGGCAAACATGTAGACAACACCTAGACACCCTCTTCCTCGACGGCGATCACCTAGACACCCATTTCCTCGACGGCGAACATCTAGACACTCATTTCCTCGACGGCGAATACCTAGACACTCATTTCCCCGACGGCGAACACCTAGATACCCACTTCCTTGACAGCGAACATGTAGACAACACCTAGACACCTAATTCCTCGACGGCGAACACCTAGACACCCACTTCCTCGATGGTGAACACCTAGACACTCATTTCCTCAATATCAAACACCTAGACACCCACTTCCTAGACGGCGAACACCTAGTTA